TTTCCTTCAAATTCTCTCTTTTCAAATGGCAAGTCTAGGCCACTGTCGCTGTTATTTACTAGTCTGTGTTAAATCCATTTACAGTGGCCCACATTCGCAACATCACATGCAATCAAGCTTTGTTACGTGCTGTGCCTTGAAAAAAATTACTCAAGCGTTTCTCAGTAGAATGTAACAGCGTCAAAACACTAGTAGTCCGTGTTTGGACTATGGCCCAGATTTGGACCTTCTCCTCTAACGCCAGTGAGAGTTACGACGTCGGCGGTTGTTCGAAATCAGTTCATGAATCAAGGCACTTCCGCGTACGTGCCGCGTAAGTCATCTTTTGTACGTCGCTCCACTACCATCTTTTGCCTCTTTTCACGGCGTGCACGGGCGAGAATGCGAGGAATGACGCGCCGTACGTGATTCGTTTTCATCGCAGGACGCGCGTCCTTCGCGCGAATATTTGCGTCGGGTAAATCATTTGGATAGCGACTGGACGGTCCTTGTGTAGTGGAGCGTCGTGGAAAGCTCCGACGGTGTATGTGCGCGGTGCACACTTGACTCCGTTTAGATGAAATATTCATATCTTCGTTCGGGTGTCTCTTCTTTTTATTCAAATGTCAATTTCGCCGCGCACTCAAAAGTGATAACCGAAAACTCTCGAGCTATTTTCAGCTTATTACGCGGGAGATCACTAACGTAACCGAGCAGTAGCTATCGATTTTAGCGTCAAGCAATGAATTCAATAAGGGGAGACCCGCTTAGTTAAAACGCGAAGCACTCGGGTGACGTTTCACCCTCCTTCTTATTTCGCGATCGTACGTACGATGATCGTCCTCATTTATATTCCTTTTTATCCCAATGCTGACGTTACATCGTTACAGTCGTCGTTACTGTCAGGCTACGAAAGCATCGAACTCGCATTTGAATTTTGAACGGCACTCGTTGATTCCCTTGACGATCGATAGTCGACCCGTTGATGGCCCTTGGCCGCGTTAAGGCGAACAATTCTCAAAAAGAGCATCAGGCACCGTCTCTCTTCCAAATTGCTCGGAGAGAATGTAGTTTTTTTTCTTCATATAATATATTTATAATGTAAATTCTTTTCAGTTTTACTATATTCTAGGACGGAAAAAAGAGACTAGTTGAATTAACATTACGTTTGGTTGAGCGAGTTTTAGTGAAGATAAACAGACTTCCTGGTTATTATAACTATAATATGGTTATTATAATTATATATGGTTATTATAAGATATATGGTTATTATAAGACATTCTGGTACGCAACCAAACCGTTGCAGTTGAACCATTGAATAATACCGAACAAATCGTCAGAGTTTGGCTACTGCCAAACTCTGTATGTAGTAATAACATCCAAGTGTCCGGTTATTGCGACTAAAAAAGAGTTGCTTAACGTGACGTGTTTGTTTAAACGACTGTGGGTATAATTAAACAGAATGTCCGGTTATTATAACCATACGTATTTTGGTATTCAACACTGGTTGCAACATAGGTAGACAATATATTTAAACAAATTTATCATACAAATTGGAGAAATGGCACAATACGTCATATAGATGACTCATAATTCCGAGGTTTCGAAACACACCAGGATAAATACGAATTCTTCAAATACAATATAATCAGTTTAAATGATTAATTTCTCAAGCAAAATAATCAGACGCTAAAAAAAACTTATAGTTAAAAAAGTTCAGTTCATAAAGTTCTAATAAAAAATATAAATGTGATTTTATTATTGTAACCAAACTTGTCTGATTGTTTTAATCAGAACGCGCGTAATTAAATCTATCTGATTCCTTCATCAAAATTATGATTCGCATCTTTCATCAAACTGTCCAATTAATTGTATCCTGAATTGAGATTAATTCAACCAATTTTTTTTCCGTGTAGTGCAGAAGTAGACTGTCGGTAAGGATGATTTCGCTAAGAAACACAATAAATTTCGCTCAAAACATCGCGAATCTTTTAACACATTTAATTTCCTGAAATATAAACAGTACATATGAAACAAAAGGTTATTCAATTATTGCAGAATGTCGATCTATTTCTCTCGGTTACAATATTCTATAGTGATCTCTGCCGTAAAATCTCTTCATGTGTATTTTCTTTTTTACACTTTCAGATTTCGCGCACGTAATATCATTCGTCGACACACGATAAAACGCCATGTTTCTCGCGCGAACAATACGCTTTCGCGATGAAATGCATGATCGATCAATTAACAGCATCGCGAAATACGTAATGATAATATTGCGAGATTGCATTTGTCGCGGTCCGACAGTTACGAATCGACAGATTTAATGCGACATATTGTTCAATTATGCACGTGTACGGTGTACAACGGCGATTATGCTCTGACATATGCTTGCGAAGTGCGTCGAATCGACACTCAGATAAAGCGATCGGAATCGCTTCGGAGGGGCCGAATGTGTCGTCTCTCTTTCGTGCTGATCTCCTTTCCGATACACGACGTTGAAGCGCGTGCAGCCCGGCGAAATTCCGAAAATCGGAACGCATTGACGATCAGTCGAGCGTGCTGTAATTAGAATGAAGCATCGCGTTCCCCGCTGCTCAGGATCGTGATTTTCAAACTGGATATGCATCCTTGATGAATGTGCTCGTATCCCTCGCGTTAATTAGTTCGCCCGGCCAGCCGGCTGTTTTGTAATTTTGCAAAACACGTGCTCTTAATTATCAAATGACTAATCTCGCGCAACCAACCTTCGCCGAGTTAACGAGCCAACCATCTGGATCAGTCGGTGGGCGCAACAATCTACCTCGCTTGCTGCATGATTTACAGATCGCTCATTACGATATTACACGTCGTATTACATTCCGACGTCTCGTCCCGCCCTGCTTCTCCCTTGCTATCGCGATAAATATATACTCCTGCAAAGTATCCGAATATTGACATAATTCACACACACACACATATAACGGAGAAAATAATATATCGAGATCCTCTATTTTAACACATCGGTTGTCAATATGTCACCAATTATACACTTCGCATAGGTAACTTGAAGAGGACGTTTTGCATAATGTAGTGAAAGTACACTAATACATCGAATCCATGAAGTGTATACCCAGAGGAATATCTTTAGCATCTGCATAATAAACATTGTTCCTATCCCAGAGTGACTTCTTGATCAAATGATGAAACTGTTCTCTGTATTGATCTAACATAGTTAAGTGAATTTCTCTGAGTCGGGCCAGCGACGTGTTAAATTTCAGAGAAAACAGTCGCTGTGAAATTCTTATAAGACTCGACAGCATGTTTTCTTATGTATGCGCGCGTGACAGTCGTACGCGTACAGCGACATTAATAAAAAATAATAAAATAAAATAAAAAAAGGAAAAAGAAAAACAAAAGCACAAAAAGTTCTCAAGATTGCGTCTCGCCGTTAAGTTACTTGTTGCGGTACTTCGCGATACCCGGAAGAATCCTGAAGCGAGACGCGACAAGTAACGAGAGGCGAGTGGCCGCGAGCTTTTGCAAGAATAACGACGACGCTCGTCGGGGGGCGCGGAACAGAAGTGGCAGGGACGGGATCCGCGCTGATGTTTCCGCGAACACTTAACTGTTGGCCATTCCTTATGGCAATCGCCTCGGTGGCACGAAGCCGAACTGGCTGCAATTCATGCATTTTGGCCGCAATTCATACTGTGACACGATGCTTGATAACAAAGACGGTCCCGGGATCTCCCCGTCTTATTAATAGACGGTCGCGCTGCCGAGTCGACTGTAACTAAGGGCGGGACGGTTCAGCCGTCTCTCCGTCGGCGAACGAAGATCGAGAATAATATACGACGTACTCTCGCGCCCCAGCTTTAAGCCTGCTCGATCCCGAAGGATCGCTGTGCGGCTGGCGGTGCAATAATTAGAAGTGCATCAGAGTGACGCGTATCTACCCCGGCGAGAGCGCGCGTGTGTGCACGTATATACGAGTGCGTATGTGTGTATGTGCGCGCGCGTGTGTATGGGTGTGTGCGCGTTAATCCCTGCGTCATTAGCACACGAGTCGCCGACCGATGACGCGATTAATTATGACGCCGGCGAACCTGCTACGATTAATTTTCCCGAATACGCGCATTTCCCGCGTGCGACGCGTCGCTCGCGTGCGCGACAGAGAAAGAAGGGCTCTTTTCGCATTTACGACTCCGCCTCTGCGAGACCTGTCGTGATCGATTATGACATATCGCGCTCATCAACTGCGAAAAGAGGACGACGCATATTGACTTTGTCCAACGACCAACACCTCGGATCACTTTTTGCGATCGCAGCACTCCTCTCTCTTTCTCTCTCTCCCTCTCTCTTTTTCTGATTATCTACTATTTACCATTATCGCGCTAAGAGCCAAACCTATGCGTCTCACCGCGTTGTTTAATTAATTAAAGTAACTCCTGTGCGCGCGTGTGTATGTGTGTACACGCGCGCGCGCGCTGTTTGATTTTTCATCGAGAACCGATAGGTGGTTTTCATTATTAACTTATTAACTCGCGGGAGTCCGATGGCGATTAATTGGGATAACGCAGCAAAATCGCCGCGTACGATAATTTAACGAGGTCAGGTCGTCGAACTGTAAGTGAAAATTAAGAGGAAATGGTTCTTTTGTTTGATTTATTCTCTTTATTTGTTCTTCGGCGCCTCTTGCATTTACTTTCACTTTTTCAACACGTAGATGTGTACACACGTGAGCATTAGCGCGAGAATGAAGCCGTTTCCGAGGGTGACGATGATCCCGTCGCGAGGCAAGACGCGGTGCACGTGATTCTCGTCGAGGGGACGGTCCGCGCCGCTCGTTTGCACCAGCATCGGCCGCTGCGGCACTTTCTCAGCTTTCACGAGGACCCTCGGGACAACATCGAGGCTGTTTGTCTCGCGTCCCACCGCGAGTGGTGGTGGTGATAAAAATACAAAAAAAAAAAGAAAAAAGCGAAAAACAAACGAGAGAGAGAGGAACTGCACGCGCACGAAAACATGCGAGAACTCACCTGCCTATTGTTGCGTGGCCACTCCGCACTGACTGACCGCGCTCACCCTCGCTCACGTAGCACTAAATGAAAATCGCTGAGAATCGCCGCTCACTGATCACTTGTCAAACACGCCGGTTCCTTGCGTAGCCCCACAACACTGCCGATAATCGCGTCCTCCGTCATCCTTAGGCAAAAGTGCGAGCGACTCGCAATTTTCGCGCGACCAGCGCGATCTCCGACAGTCGTCCTCGCTCTCGTCTCCGTGCTCGTGGTCGTAGTCCTTCGTGTTCGTCGTGGTGCGATCTCGCCGATCTCGTGGCGAGCGCGAGTCGCTTGATTCTGGCCGCGCGCGAAATCCGCAGGATTGATCCGTCCTTCCGCGGAATGCTGCGGTGATCGGGAACGAAAGACCACGGGGGTGAGAGGGACGAGAGAGCTCGGGCACCTCGTGCTCGCGAGCGCGGCAAAGGCGCGTGCGGTCCGGACGCGGAACGTGAGTGCCGCTCGTAGAGGCGACCGAACCGCCAGGCCGGCGGAGCGCGCAGGTCCTACGGAACGTCCCACGTCGGGCTCCCGCGGCGGAGCCACGGACAGGTACTCTCGTCGGCGGCGAGGGAAAATACTGCCGTGCAGCCGCCCCGAAATGTCGCCAAGAATTCGCCGCTCCGGCACGCTCGCTCCGAAACGAGCGAGCGAGCGAGCGAGCGAACGAACGAGAGACGGGAATGCGCATATGCGAGCCAGCGGGACGACTTTGGACGTAGACTGGATAGATAGGAAGCGGCAGGTATTTATCACGTTCTGAAAATTAAATTCCCCCTAAGAGTCATTTTGACCCTTACGTCCCAGATAGGCGTTATAGCGTTAATTACTTTAGGCGTGAAAAGGTATGCCATGGATGTAGGATCCGCCGCTGGATTTAGACGTCGCGAGATGTAATTGAAATCGCGACAGAGAGATGGGATTGCTTCCACGTGGCTGCGTGACTCGGGTGAGCAACTTTCGATCGGCCAATTTCGAGATATCGACCTTAAAACGTCGATTTCTTCTCGGGTACATCAGATTACATAGATTACGCGTTAATGTTTAAAAGTAAGTAGATTAAACAGAAACACGTAGGTAGATAACACGTAAGTAGGCAAATAAAATATATGTCTATCATTAGTTCAACACATCAAGCAATCAACGGGACATGGTCTTCTATTATTTTTTAATATAAATCACTAGTCTAAAACTAGACTGATAAAATTATTAAAATAAAATCAAAGAACAATCATCAATGCAGCGTAAAAGCAATGAACATAAAATGTGTTTTTTGTCATTACACGAGTAACATATAATAATAAAATTATTTATTTTACGTTATATGATAAATTAGAACAAATTGACGTCTCGCTCAGGATTCTTTCGGGATGTCTCTATAGAGAGCCGAAAATCGGGATGTCTCGCAATATTCGTGACGGTTAATTACCCTATCCGTGACCTCTCTGTTGAGTAAGAGCGAATGATATATTTCTCGTGGGCGCGTCGCGAAGTACCGAGAGGGTAGTTAATGCGCAAGGAGCAAGAAGGAAATTGGGAGAGGAGATATACAGATTGGAAATGAATTTAGTAATAATGGAATGCTTCGCGGAAAGGCAAAATTGCATGCGAAAACAGCGAGATGCGCGATTATATGGCCAATTCTGAAAGTTGATTCGTTTGCGACCATTTGAAAGAGTACGATCTGTAATCACGACGCGAAACATTAGCCGCAAATCGAGCTTTATTTTGCACATGTAACGACTCCGGCCTTCCGTGCTGCCGCACGGGATTCTCGAGGATTTCCGCAGCGCTATGGTCTTCCAATTTAATTAATTAGTGCACGTAACAATCGGTGACAGATGTTACGGTTGACGGTCGATGTAATAACGAATATCACGCGAGGCGGAGCGAGTTCGACGAACGCGTTTCACGAAATCACCCCTTTGAATATTCTTCTATCTCTCCCGCGTCGCGAGAACACCGAAAGCGGTCCCTATAAAATATTGCAGATAACACTGCCATTTTTTCGGACATCCAATTATATCCAGCACGCGTGGAGCGAAATTCTCGTGCTCTCTGTGATTACCGCGTTTCTACCAACATTCCGGAAAAGCCCTTAGCAATTAGTCAGTCGGTCGATAACTGTCGTCCATTTGCAAAGATATGAAAACAAATTCGCGCTAATGTGTTAAGAAAAATAAGAGAAAAATAGATAAATAAAATAATGAGATAGAGAGGAAGGGAGAAGAGAAAAGTGTGAGTGAGTGAGTGAGTATGAGTGATTGTACACACAGAAAGATATCATTCTACGAAGAAAAGCGTTTACTTCTATGTAAGCGTCTATTCTTCTTCTTTTAACTATTATATTCAACAAAGAATATTTTCTTGATAATAATCTTAAAATGTGCACTCATCATAAATTTGAGAAAAAGTCATTATCATGTGTTCAAAAGAAGGATTGAAGACAAAATATTACAATGTGATTTAAAGGTAAAAGTATAATTGCAATATGCACGATTGGTACACAAAGTATTCGCTATATTTGTAAAAGTGTAGACCAAGGCTATTTGGTTACCGGGGTAAGTTGGCAAAATCGATTATTTCTACTGTTCTTTAACAGATTTCAAAATTATCTTTGACATATTTAAAAATTTCGCTTGCTTAATTCTGTCTTATCAGAAAATAGCAGAAATAATCGATTTTGCCTATTTATCCCCTAACTAATTCGGTGTAAAACTATAAAAATTTACTCCTGGAAAAGGACAGTTGACCTATGAGGAGTGCACAGAGCGCACTTGGTACGCTGCAAATTACACGACATGCGAATACTATTATTTACTGCACCAGGACACATCGGCACAATATAGACGTCGGCGTGGCGTTAACGCCGCCTCGTCGCATAAATCTCGCGCAAACGAATTAACGGTCGAATCGGTCGGTCGGACCGTTCGCGCGTGTATCCCCGCCGTAAAACTCGAGGAGCTTATTACCGGCTAATACTACTTCGCTCCTTATTTATGGTCGAACGCTCGCTCGCATCCTCCGCGCTCCCGGTGTAATACGTGTGGCATGCGAATATCGAGTTGCGCGATTCACCATGCATAATATTAGCACGATATTATAGTTCCGTCGTGGATTACGGGAGGGGCGAGCCGAATACCTAATAAGGGTTTTACGACTGTCTAGGAAATCCGTGATTAGCTTCTCAACTATGCGAACTGAGTCGCGGGCGGTAACCGTCACTTGCGCCAGTCGGAGCATTCGTAGCTCATCGACATGCTGGCGAGCGGCTCGCTGTCCGGATGTATTGATCCGAGATGGGGACTCCGAGTGTTCCAACGTATCGTTCGCGAAACACGCGAAAATAAAGACTGAAAAAAAAAGAGTACAATCGAACGAACGAGCGAGCGTGTGCGCGCGCGCTGGGTTTCATTCGCGCGCCGAGAATAGAGGCTAGAAAAGGTAGGGAAAAAAAGACTTGAACGAATCTTCGAGATACCGAGAAACGAACGACGTGCGCGGTATCCGACGAGACGCGCCTTTGGCGACAGTGCGCGCCTTTGCTACATATCGAAGCGCTAAATTAAAAAAGTTAATCGACTCGGAAATAAATCTCGCTAAATCGCGTCGCCGGCGGGTTCCTTTTGTGACAAGAACAGGCGCGCTTATACGGGAAAACGGCAAAGCCTTTATTCCCGCGATTTGCTCGTGGCACACGCGCATCGCGGACCGCATTTAGATTCCGCGCCGGGGTTCACTTTGCGGCTCTCATTCCGCGTTCTTTATTGCCGCGTCCGCAGAATGGGAGCGGAACTTGCGGGACTTGCGCGCTGCGAAACACACCGTGTTATTCCTCTCGTCTGTTACATCTCGACTGAGCCACGTAGAGACAGGCTGGGGCCGTTAAGCGAAGACATTCGTTTGTCGATTACACAAGTCAGCTTTATCCATGGCGGAATCGTCCGGGCCACACGCTTCGCTGCTGGCCTGTTTTAATTAGTAATTATTTCCCGATACTTGGGTCGCGCGTGCGATGAATGCTGAAACGGTTCTTACGTTGGAGAATTGTCGGAACGACTCCTGTCAAAATTTTAGCTTCATTTTGAACGTGAACTTTCTAACATGTTCTCAAAGATCAGTGTATATGTAACTGAACATTTAAACTGAAATCCTACTTAGGACCTCTAAATGACAGAAAGTATATAAAAAGTTACTTGTAGGTTCTAAAAAGGACTTCTCGGCGAAGCTATTAGGTTAAACAAAATCAGAAGGGAATCGATATCGGTTTCAAGGTATCAAAGACGTTAAATGGAATATTTAGGTCAAAAGATCGTATGTAATTTAGGAAATAAGATCGAAATTTCGACTCGGGGACTCGCGACAAACATAGAAAGCTTAATATAAAGTATGCTCTTTAATCAGAAAAAGGCAAAGAACATGAAACAGGAAGCAAAGAGCAAATTGTAGATTAGATTTGACAAGCGAAGAAAGCGAAAATCTTGCTATATACGACAAGACATTCAACGACCGTGCATATATTAAAAACGATTAACGATCCGTCACACACATACACACAGTTAGCGTGCTAATTATACTCCTATACATTTACTCAGCGGAGATAATCCCATTTCGCGTGGCCGGAATGAAAGCCGAGTAAATTTACCGCGACATTAAAAATTAATTGCTCCACATTCTGCGCTTTTTTTACGAGTATAAAGAACCGGATGAGAGTGGAACGAGAGGAGTCCTTTGTTGGATCGCGGAGCACGCCGTCGCGAGGCGGCCAGCAAAATTTTTCTCGGTCTCCGCGCAATACAAAAGTGCGGCCCATATGAAAATCCCAATAATACTTGTGGTCCCGCCGGGTAATTGGGCAACGGAGCATTCCGCGCCACGGTAATTGCCTAGAAATTGCAGAGAATACGGCCACGATCTTACGGCACGTCGGTTACGTTTATACGCGACGCTGCTTCGGTTTATTATTGGATTTTCGTCAAATTCGAATCCTCATTTAATAAGATTATTCCAATGCAGCCCGGGGCAGTCTCTTGTTTCGCAGTTAAACGGTTTTTCTGCACGGCAGCTTATCGATTCGTGGGCTCGCGTTTACGCGCGCGCGTTCCCTGCGCCGCGTGTGATTTATTAATGCGCGGGCCCAGAGGCGTTTTGCATGATACTTCGTCTCAATTAATGTCACCCGGTATTAAGCAGCAGCGGCTTTAAAAGTGATCCGGGCGAGAGCGGGGTCGCTCAGGGCGCGCCGAAAAATGGGACGAGGGAAAATGCGGCCTAGTTGCGCTAATTAAAATATTTCCCCGAGATACCATTGTTCCTCCTGCGATTCGATCCCGCACGATGGATGGTAACGTCCCGTCTCGCCTCTAACGGCGAGTTTCCCGAGAGACGTGTGCGGGAGAACGTGAGTGAAGCGTGTATAATTGAGTAGATTTTGCGGTT